CACCATGGGATCATTAAGTTAAACACATTCACCAAGGGATCACTATGTTAAACACATTCACCAAGGGATCATTATGTTAAACACATTCACCAAGGGATCACTATGTTAAACATATTCACCATGGGATCACTATGTTAAACACATTCACCAAGGGATCATTAAGTTAACCACATTCACCAAGTGATCACTATGTTAAACACATTCACATAGGGATCATTAAGTTAAACACATTCCCCAAGGGATCGTTATGCGACGAACCGTAACTTTACTGTTTATGAATTCCCCGAAAGCATGATTTCTTCACTGTTTCAGTCGGTGTTATTTTGTTTCTTAGGTCAAAGGTTATTAATCGAACTAGTATCTCACTCAGTAAACCTTCTAGTTTGAATTGTTACGGTCAGCTGAAGAAATATTGTAGTCCGGTGTTCATCACTTTAAATGATTAATGATTTTGTTTGTGTGTCTGTTGTTAAGCACAAAGCTAAAGAATGGGTTATCTGTGCTATGCCTACCACGGATGTCAAAATACAATATTATAGCGTTATAAGCCCTCAGACTTACCGCTGAGCCACTGAAGGGCCAGGTATAATGTCAACTGGCCTTTTTTCAGTCGTCCGGAATTCATCCACTTTAAAGTTCAATGTCAAATGAACAAGTGATCCAAGACCAGAATCCGTTATCTGTTACATTTTGACTGTATGCAGTGTAAACAAGATGAAGACTTATTGTTTTTAAATCATAATTATTTACAGGATACCTTTAAAACGTCGACAGAATTGTAGTTTCTCAGTAAACAAAAAACAACTGAGTTCGTACAGTAAATTAAAATACGCTTAAAATTAGGTTTTTTCTCGAACACATGCACGACAGTCCAAGAGGGTATTACGTAACGCAGTATTTTAATGAGTTACGGCCTCTGATGCTTCACTCCGTGTATAATAACGTATACCTTGTAACCGTATCCTCCTTAATAAACACACATGTACTTCGTTGCGTTGTGAAACGGCACAGTTCGTCTCTCTCTTCTTTTCTTTTTTTTCGAGATCAATGTGATACTTATTCTACCTGAAACAGATTAAAAGCACAGAGTACTGACGTCGATCTTGCGGGCTCACTAGAACTGACGTCGAACTTGCGGGCTCACTAGAACAGAAAGAAGCCGATGAGAACACCCACAGCTGCTAGAGACTTTATTGGGGGGAAATACGAGGAGGTGATTTATAGCATCCAAGGAAGGGGTGGATTCTACAGCGGTTAGTAATTGTCAGATAGATATCCAATCATTTTGTTATTCTTAGTTTACAAGTGTCTTGGACTATCTAACACGAATAATTACCGAATACAGCATAAGACAATAACTCAGTCTGACATGCAAGTAGGTAGGCGTGTAGATAAGACGCTAAAATTCGGGTTTAGATACCCGTGGTGAGAAGAGAACAGACAACCCATTGCGTAGTTTTGTGCTTAACAACAACCCAACCAAACTTAATGTACAGGCCTCTCCCAGTGAATCAGCGGTAAGTCTGCAGGCTTACTAGGTCAAATTAGGGTTTCGATACCCGTAGTGGGCATAGCATAGATAGCCCATTGTGTACTTCGTGCTTAACTAAACCAAAATGCACGGTATAATGGTAACAGTCACCACCTGGTACGTTATTTAAAATTTATTATGACAATTTAGGCTTACTTTTAAACAGTCTCCTGTGAATAACGTATTATGTCAACGAAGCCATTTTAATTGTTTTAATTAGAGCTTTACCCTAATATATATTTCTCCAACATCTTTGCTCATCACATTCCCCAGTCCTGTGTGCACTTACAGAGTCTTCCGCCAGTAGTGTACAAAAAATTAAAATAAAGGTATCAATTATTTTTTTGCATCAAGTCCAGTATTATCTCGTGACGTTTCGACCCGAAACTAGAACTTCGTAAATGTTTCCATGGTATTACGATAAACAAACCTAATGACTTATAACTTTGATAGAACGTTTCAAAACTAATACAGTTTCAGAAAGAAACGATTCGATAACTTTCAGGATCCAATAAATCTGTCTGTATACTTCAGACAGCCCCCTTGTTTACTAATTTGTAGAACTTGTAACGCCCCTTCTTTACAAACTTATACTTGTAACGCTCATTAATAACTAATATTAACTTCCAATCAGAGCAAGCCATCTACTTAGAGCAAAACTAAAATCAACTGATATAATTTTCTTAAGCTCTTACTTATAAAAATTACCATTCATTGTTAACGATGTTTTCGGCCGTAAACCCAACAATATCTCACGAGATTCAGCCAGCTTAGGATATTTAGGTTAGTCCTAAATAGATATAGTAAACTAACAACGGAAAACAATCATCACAGTAAAAAGTATGATAATAATAATGAAAATAAAATATAATAAAATTAGATATATCAAAAACTAACAAGAAATAATGGAGTAAACCTTACTTACGGAACACACAAACACTAACTAATACCACACTTTCAGTTAAATGTGAAATCTTTAGTCTATGCCAAGAGACCACCGGGTTAGTCTGTGACACAGTACAATTAGTAAGCAATCTAAAACGTCCACGTGCCACGAATGTGACAACTATACTTAATAAGGTGGTGTTCATTGATAACATAAAAAGTGTCCACTTTACCTTTTTATTCTGGTAGGCGGTAACAGCGATAAACTGTGTCTCCTTGAATGCATAGGTACGGAACGTACTGTATGGAAGCTTGAGGATGTCGTTCGCCCGTACAAGATGGAACCTGGGTTGGTATTTGTGCATGGAGTTGAGGACCGTCTATAAGAAAATTAATACATAAAATAGTTAGGCCTAGAATAAAACCACTCTTTCCATAGTTAAGCGTTTATAACATTTCCCCCTTAGATCAGAGTTTCTCAACCTGCTCGCTGCCTTCCTAAACTATCGCGGACCCCTAAAATTCACGAACAACGAAAAAACATTACGATGCACCTATGATGAATATTCTGTCTTTTTTTTGTTGTTGTTGTTCGTTACCGTAAAATTCCACGGACCGGAAAGGTGATTGTGACGGACAAATGGTTGAAACACACTGGTTTTAGACGACAGTTGGGCGACTGAAAACAGTAGCTAAAGAAGAAAAGAAAAAAAAAGGGGGGGGCAAACGAAAATAGAACATTGTTGAAATTAACAAACATTTACACAGTAATAGAGTTCATAAGTAAATAAATAACCGATAAAAGAGCTTCGTTTGTTTGTTTCGGATATTCGGGCTATCTTCACTGGCTGTCCATAATTTTGAACTGTAAGATTAGAATAAAATCAGCTAGTAACAGCACCCAACCTTTTGGGCTACTCTAATCGATTAGCGGGGTTTGATTGTAACTCCTATAAAGCACCCACAACCCCAAAATTCGGAGCTCGATTTTGCGTCAAGGGGACGCGAACCAGGAATCTTCGACTTCATAATCCGGCATGCCGACCACTAGGCCATGCCCAAACAAATAAAAGGGCCAGAAAGAAACAAATAAAATGAAAGATCGCAGAAAATAATTAGAGGATTTTTTTTGGGGGGGGTGTTTTATTTGTTTTAATGCAAAGCTACACAAAGAACTATGTAGACTCTGTCGGAGAATCCAAGGGCCAGTTACATCTGAATATTGCTAGCATAGGTAACTAGAAATGTCTAAAAAAGGTTATTTAGAATGTTTGTTGTCGTTTATTTTTTAGTATTACATAAAATATATCACTATAACTAACTAACTATTTCACTACAATCGTACTGATTACCGTAATACTTTCTTTACTGATAAAAGTTCTCGATGACCAACAACATTATAATAAAAGAGAAATATTTTTTTTTTTACTAGAAACTAATCCGGACTTCTTTATTTTCCACTTTGCCGAATTCTCAGTGAGTTTTAAAAGGTAAATATTTCCTTGTTTAAAACCGTTTCACGTTTTCTATTCAAATTCAAACACGCTGCGGAATCCACTAGCCCTAACACGACGAGCCTCTTAGAGCATACCGCCAGGAAGACACGGAACTGGCGGCTATCAAATGTCAACGTCGCCATGTTTTATTGGCTGTAAGATGTGTTTTGAGATATTTGGATATACGTTATGTGGCTAATGCGTTCTTGCGCATATAAAATTTACGGTAAAGCTAAACAAAATATCCTGTCAAACTTCCGTTTGTTTGTTTGTTGTTAAGCGCTAGATCATGACCACTGGCACCATTGTTGGCGAACTCTTTTGTGCCTTGTTATGAGCGTAATGCATCATACTGGGTGTTTTTGTGAAGTCTACTTCTAACCATACACTAATTCGATTTCCAGTTGCGGCTGCGAACATATGATTCAATCTCAGAGTACGTATTATACATTTCAAATCCCAGCCACCGAACGTTCCCGCCCTTTCAGCTGTGGGAGCGTTATAATGTGACGATCAATCTCACTATTCGTTGGTAAAAGAGTAGCTCAAGAGTTGGCGGTGAGCGGTGTTGACTAGCTGCATTTCCTATAGTATTTCATTGCTAGATTAGGAACGGCTACCTGGAGAGGAGATAGGCGCCACCAGGCACATCTGACCCAGAATCACCGAGATTAAAATATAAACAACAACAAAAAAAAAAAAACGAACTGACCAACCAGGGACTTGGCTTTAAAATTCCTTCACATTATCACACATTTACCTCGAACTAAGCGTGATTTTAATGGATGCTTTATCTCAGGAAAGTATTCAATCCTTCATTCAGGGACAGTTTTAAGGTCTCACTTTTTTTTGAGGGGGGTATTTTTTTTTGTCATAGACTAGAGGGAAGGCAGCTATCTAGTCAACATCACCCACCGCCAACTCTGGATCTACTATTTCACCAACGAATAGTGAGATTAGCCTTCATATTTTAATGCTCCAACGGCTGAAAGGGCGAGCATGTGGCCTCCAGATGAGGAGATATTCTAACCATCTCATGTCAATCAATGAAATAACTCAGCAGACATATAAACAGGAATATACTGCCGCATTTTATACTGCTCAGCATTGGATTAGTTTGTAATTGTTGTTTGAAGTTAAGCACAAAGCTACACAATGGGCTATCTGTGCTCTGCCCACCACTGGAGGATGAAGACTAGAGACTGAGAAACTAGAAGAAAGACTGCTTGTCAACTCCCACTGACCAATAACTTTTAGGCTACTCTTGTCTGACCGAATGGTGGAATTTGACCATCACTGTTATAACACACCCACTAGGGTAAAGGGACGCGAACCATGATCCCTGGATTTACACCAACACCATTCGAAACGGGTCGAGCTCTTGGATCGTTGCTTTAAAACTTTCTTATAATCCGTGTATATGATGGTCCACTTTGGATCCAAATCCAGATAACCCTGTTGTGATATGTTGAATGTCACTTAGGTCTTCATTTAATGGACAACAGTCTTACTTATAATGGACAATGTATCACTAATAATGGCTTCTTGTCACTTATTGCGATGATTTTAAATTGACGATTATTTTAAAAAATATAACATAACGAACACACACTGTTGAGCACAGTAGCTGGGGCTAGAAGAACGAAATGACAAAGCTAGCTTGGCCTCTTAAAGTTAAATAATTAGTTTTTATCTTACCGATCCGTGCTGTCCACAAACATTGTTGGAGAGTTTGAGTTTGTGGAAGGACACCTCCTTCTGCATCCACTGTTCCCCAGTGTTGGGCGAGTCTGGGTGGATGTACATCCTTTTGGGCATTTCCGGGTCAGCCTTGCCAGCCACTGTCCAAGAACTGTTGTGGAACTTGTACCTGCAGTCGTCAGCTGCCACAATGTCCATCAACATGATGTACTTAGCTTTCTTGTCCATTCCGGACACTCGGACTTTGAAGGGAGGAAACATTCTCCTGCAAAGAATATAAAGTTTTATACACGATAGAAAACGTTACAAACGCTACACAACAGCCTGTTTATGTACCTCCTATAAGCTAAAGTTAAATAACGTTATTTCATCTATATAAAATATAAACCAGAAGATATGAAGTCTCTAATAAAGCTCATAGAAACAACACCTTCTCTCTCACACACCCCCCCGCTTCTCCTGGAAGAGTCGAGATCTGATTGTAGCTAAGCCCCCTGATTACGTAAAAAACTTGCAGGCTAATAAAGCTAAAATGTGAGGTTTGATTCCCTCGGTGAGCGCAGCACGGATGCCACACTGTGTAGTCCTTTGCTCAAAAACAGGCCAATAAAGCTTAAAACCGAGGTTTGATCCCTGCAGTGAGTGCAGCACGGATGCCCCACCGTGTAGTCCTTTGCCCAAAAACAGGCCAATGAAGCTTAAACCCGAGGTTTGATCCCTGCGGTGAGTGCAGCACGGATGCCCCACTGTGTAATATTCTTCCTCATCACGAGTGATCAAAACCTTGCACACGTTCCGAGTTAAAAGCAAAGTTTTCAATGGTTAAGAACAATTCTGGTTTATATCCTGCTAAACTAACACCGAGAGACGTAACTCTAAACGCCGGTGTTATAATGTATTATTAGTTTTTTTTTAAGCGTATATTGTATTTAGTAGTATACAATTATTTATTTTACTAGCTTCGTTGAATAAAGTCTGAACATCAAACTGATGTAAGTTCATTGATCATTTGATAAACCAAGTCATCAGTTTGTGCTTTATTTGATTAATAGATACTCGACGACGTGAAAATAAAGACCGCGTGTGTGTGTGTGTTTTATAGCAAAGCCACAATAGGCTATCATCTGCTGTGTCCACCGAGGGGAATCGAACCCATGATTTCAGCCTTGTAAATCCGAAGACTTACCGCTCTCCAACCGGGGAGACCACAGCAGTATGTCTGTGGACTTGCAACGCTAGAAACCGGGTTTCGATACCCGTGGTGGGCAGAGAACAGATAGCCCATTGTGCATCTTTGCAATTAATTACAAATAAACATTTCCGGATCTTGTTATTACATTTTTTTTTTTTTACTTTATCGTTTTATTTCGCATTTATCCTGTGCCAAACATATATATTTTGATAACTGTACAAAGAAGTGTTATTTTTGCAAAACATTACACTCCTGAGGATGACGCAAGATATACGTCGAAACATGTAGTGTGCATGAGATTGTTTTCCAGTCACGTCGGGGTTTATTACCACTTTTTAACCTTGTACAGTAAGTTATTATTTTAATATTTTATTTTAATAATTCGGAGACTGTAAACAACCCCATTTTATTGAATTGTGTATAAAATAATCGTTGTTTTTAAATATTTTTTTGTTTTTTAGTTTTCAAAAATACATAAATAAGTTTTAGTAAACATACATCCTACGCGCTGTTTTTGCAGACGAGACAAAAATACCGTAGCTAACACTAATAACAAGAGATTGTAGTACATAAAACAATGAAGATGTTTGGTTTGCTTGGAGATCACTTTTTAAAAATTAACAGTGCCACCTGGTGGCCAGTTCTTGAACTACTTTAACCGCAAAAGTATAGGCTCATGAAAAAAAAGCTCTGCTGTGCACAGAATCAATTTATTTTTTGTCCCATCGCTATTCTATTACTACATATATATCTTATGTTGGTTGGTTAAGCACACAGTGAGCTAAGTGTGCTCTTCTCACCACGGGTATCGAAACCCGTTTTTTAGTGTCGTAATCCTGCAGATTAACCGCTGAGCCACCAAAGGGAGACAATGTCGATTAATTCAACCGATATGGTTGTTGTTGTTGTTGTTGTCGTTATTCAGATCATCGTTGTAGTTGGTACTCATTTTCTACTTGGATTTTCACTCTAAAGAGAAACGTCCTGTCAGATTTCCTGAATATCCGCTGTCCTATAACGTAGTTCGTGCATATGTATATATATATGTATGTATATGCAGATTACGTTAGGCACAGCCCTGAGAATAATGTACAACATTTTTCTTTGAACTGCCTCGCCAAGGTTCCATAATTAACGTCACAATGATTTATTTATTACAGGCGTATATAATGTTCATATCCTCGGCACGGCCTCCGCAAAGTATAATTGTTTTATATTTTATCTTCGTGAAAAAAATATTAGAAACCTGTTTCGGTTTCACAAACTGTAAGTTTGAGAGTAGAAGTATCTCGTTTTCTAAAGCTTTTTTATTTTGAGTTGTTTAATTACGTTATTAGATATTACTAAGCCTAGTGTATATAATAAACACACTTAAAATGGATATAACTAGTGGGTCATGCCCTCTTGAGACATTAGTTTACGAACTGTCTTTATGACGATTCATACCAGTTGTTGTGTGTGTGTGTGTTTAGTTAACAACTCTGTTATAAGCTGTCATTTTAAATGTTCAAACTAACTAGACGCGAGCGTTTCATTATAAAACAACTGTCGTGATGCACACCAGGTGTCGCGATGAAACATTTAAATCATTTTGTCCTTTCTTAACTACGAGCAAATGTTTTCTTTTATACATGATTTAAGCAGTTTTATGATGAATTAAAGCAACAGTTGAGGATAAAATCTTGGAGGATTAATCTATCAAAGTAGCTCGGGTGGAAAAGACTTTAGTTCAGAGCAACAGTTGAGGATAAAGTCTTGGAGGATTAATCTATCAAAGTAGCTCGGGTGGAAAGGACCTTAGTTCAGAGTAACAGTTGAGGATAAAGTCTTGGAGGATTAATCTACCAAAGTAGCTCGGGTGGAAAGGACCTTAGTTCAGAGTAACAGTTGAGGATAAAATCTCGGAGAATTAATCTACCAAAGTAGCTCGGGTGGAAAGGACCTTAGTTCAGAGTAACAGTTGAGGATAAAGTCTTGGAGGATCAATCTACCAAAGTAGCTCGGGTGGAAAAGACTTTAGTTCAGAGTAACAGTTGAGGATAAAGTCTTGGAGGATTAACCTACAGAGGACTGAACTACTTTGGTAGATTAATCCTCCAAGACTTTCTCCTCAACTGAAACATTTCAATTACAGCAGATAGTGACATGAATTAATCAAGAACAGATGGTTTAAGTGCTTTAAGTGTTTAAATAGAGTGCTAGCTCGCTAAAAAAACAAAAAATAAGGTGGTCACAGCTTCACTACTCGTATCTGCATTTCTTGATATGGAGGGCAACATTGTATCACTTGATATAGAGGGCAACATTGTATCACAATCGCTTTTCCTTGATGAAACAAAATTTCTTTCCGGAGAATTGGTTCTTGCTAGTGTTTCTATTATACCAGTGCCTTTTGAATATATTATGAATCAAAATTCAAAACATTTATTTTATAAAACAAATAATATAAATTTAAATGAAAAAAGGGGGTTCAGATAGCACCTTATAAGATATCACATAAATACCACGTATACATTAACACAGTATCATGTTAGGTAAGGAACAATCCTGAGTGACTTCGTGAAAGTTTGTTTATGTGTTTGCTTTTGTCGAATTCCGCGCTAAGATACTCGAGGGCTATCTGTGATAGACTACACTACGGTGAAGGTAAGTAGTAGTCAATGCCACCCACCGCCAACTCTTGAGCTACTCTTCACCAACAAATGTTGGGACTGACCGTCATAGTATTAAGCCTCCAAGGCTGAAAAAAAAACAAAAAACGTTAGATGACGGGTTTTGATCCCACGACCAGCAGATTACGAATGGAGTATCCTAAACGCCAGACTACAGAGTCAGATTAGGTTGGAAGAAATTATTGCAATACTCCCCGCCGGATCAGGGGGGGGGGACCTTCGACTAAGAGAAAAGAAAAAAAAATGTCTCATTGAAATCCACGTGTTTCTAATCGCGTCACCATGACAACATCAATTTTAGTTGTTTTAGGTAAATATGTAGTTTTACTGACATGTTCTTACAGCTGGTAAATAATTGCTCGGACTCTTTAACAACAAAATCGATTGACATTACTTTATAAATATTGAAATCAGTGTTTTGATGTTATCTACTAATCGCATATATTTGTGTATTTATCAAACTGTACAGAATCGTACCCCAAGTCCTTAACCCAGCTATGACAATTTGAGGAAAAGAATCTATAAGGTGTAGTAGAATAAAGCATGGTTTTATCTGAGGTAATGATTAATTACAAGGGAAGAAAAACGATTTCAAGGGAATCTCAATCAAAGAACCACACACTAAAGAAAAACAATAAATATTTGATATTTACGTTTTTGGCTAGAGAGAGAGAGCAATATTTACGTTTTTGTCTAAAGAGAGAGAGAGAGCCCTCCCCCCCAGTGGCACAGCGGTAAGTCTGCGGACTTACAACGCTAGAAACCGGGTTTCGATACCCGTGGTGGGCAGGGCACAGATAGCCCATTGTGTAGCTTCGTGTTTAATAACAAACAAACAAACTAAAGAAAGAACTATCTTATTACACATGAAGTACACGAGAAAATAGCTATCGTAAACTGGAGTACGAATAAGAGCGTCCTCCGATGTGTCGACGGTAAATCTCCGGCGTTCCGTTCGATTCTCTTCACCAGGGAAACGGCAACGACGAGTCTAGCGATGTATCACTGCCGACCAAACAGGCTGGAAAAGCGGGCGAGTTTTCAATCCTACAGCGCTGCCACTGTTCTGGGGTTTAGGTTTAAGCGAGAATGAAAGCATAGGTTTGAAAATAGCCGGAGTGCATGGGTCCCGAAATTTTACTTCAAACTTTTGATCGCGAACACCCGAACCTATCGACGTCTCTCGTTTTTCTGTACACGAAAAGCTACGTTTCAAAATTAAATGTTTTAATGAATATAACTTTAATTTTATGAAAAATATTTTTCATTCTATAAAACATATTTTTGGAAATATTGTTATGAAATTTCGGACATGACTCTCGAACCCCCCCTGCAGTACCCCCGCGGACCCTAGAACTACTATTATTTTTGAATTTCGCGCAAAGCTACACGAGGGCTATC